CTCAGAAGAAAAAAAAAGTTAGATTGAAGTTGATATGCATAAAAGAATGAAAATGGTAAATAATGATGTAGAACTAAATAAATACTGAATAATACAAGACTGATGTGGTTGCTCACACCTTAATGCTGGCTCTTTGGGAGGCCAACGTGGGAGGACTGCTTGAGCTCAGGAGTTCAAGACTAGTCTGGGCAAGAGAAGAGTAAGACCGCATCTTTACTAAAAATAGAAAAATTAGCTGGGTGTGGCGGTGCTAGTCCCAGCTACTAGGGAAGCTGAGGCAAAAGAATTGCTTGAGCCCAGGGGTTTGCAGTCACACTGAGCTATGATACCACTGCTCTCTACCCAGGGTAACAAAGCAAGACGTGTCTCAAAACACATATATGGAATAATAATTCTATTTCAAATAAACAACCCAATGATGAACTTCAAGGTACTAGAAACGCAAGAACAAACCAAACCCAAAATTAGTAGGAGGAAAGAAATAATAAAGATCAGAGCAAAACTAAATGAAATAGATAATAAAAACATTTTAAAAGCCTCAATAAAATAAAAAGTTGGTTTTCTAAAGGTAATATTGAGCTCTTCTGCTACTGCTGTGGGAATGAACACATCTGCCCTGCTATGAAAGGTTGGTTTTATTAGTAATTCTTAAATTTCAGACCATCCTTTGAGAAATATATGTGTGTTTCTAAAGCCATACATTTAATATGTTTTTAACCTATCTTGGAAAGGATGTATTGAATTTTAAATTGAAACTACTAGTGACTATGTGGAACTTTGTAGAAATCATCTGTTTGCATTTTTCTTATTACATTTACAGCAATATTAATTTGCAAAAAAATAAAGATAATATTGATAAACCACTAGCTAGACTAACCAAGAAAAATAATAAATAAGACCCAAATAAACAAAATCAGAAACAAATAAGGAGGCATTACAACACAGAAATACAAAAGATCATCTGAGACTAGTATGAACAATTATATGCTAACAAACTGGGAAACCTGGAGGAAATGGATAAATTCCTGGACACATGCAACTATCAGGAATGAATCAGGCAGAAACAGAAAACCTTAGCAGACCAATAAGAACTAATAAAACTAAACTAGTAGTAAAAAGTCTCCCAACAAAGAAAAGCCCAGAACCTAATGTCTTCATAGCTACATCCCACAAGACCTATACCAAAGAGCTAGTATCAACTCTCCTAAAACTATTCCAAAAAATAGAAGCGAGGTAATTTTTCCTAACTCATTCTATGAAGCCAGCATTATCTTGTAACCAAAACCAGATAGGGACACAACAACAAAAAGAAAACTGTAGGCCAATATCCCTGATAAGCATAGATGCAAAAATCTTCAACAATGTATTAACAAACTCAGTCCAATAGTACATGAAGAAGATAATACACCATAGTCAAGTGGGATTTACCCCAGGAATGTTTGGATGGTTCAACATACACAAAGCAATACATTTCCTATATTACATCAACAGAATGAAGAAAAAAATCTACATGATCATCTCAATAAATGCAGAAAAACATATGATAAAATTTAACATTCCTTCATGATAAAAATGCTCAACAAACTAGGCAAAGAAGAAATAGACCTCAACACAATAAAGGCTCTACATATGACAAACCCACCACTAACATCATACTGAATGCAGGAAAAGCTGAAAGCTTTCCTCTATGAAGTGAACTAGATAAGAACACCTATTTTCATCACTCCTATTCAAAATAATACTGGAAATCCTAGACAGAGTAATCAGGCAAGAGAAAGAAATAAAAGGCATCCAAATTGGAAAAGGCTCTACCAAAAACTCTTAGCACCAATAAATAAGTTCAGGAAAGTTGCAGGACACAAATCATACAAAAATTCATAGCATTTCTGCACACCAATAATGAACTAGCTCAAAAAGAAATCAATATCATTCATAATAGCTACCCAAAAAAGCTAAGAATAAGTTTAACCAAAGAGGTGAAAGACCTCTACAAGAAAAGCTATAAATCATTGATGAAAGAAATTGAAGAGGACATAAATATAAAGACACCCTATTGTAATTAATATTGTTAAAAAGACCATACTGCCAAAAGAAATACATAGATTCAATGAAATCCTTATTAAAATGCCAATGAAATTTTTCAAAAAAAATAGAAGAAATAATCCTAAAATTTGTATGGAACCAAAAAAGAGCCTGAATAGCCAAAGCATTACTAATCAAAAAGAGCAAAGCTGAAGGCATGAGACTACTCATGATTTCAAAATATATTATAATGCTATAGTAACCAAAATAGCATGGCATAGGTACAAGAATGGACACATAGCCCAATGGAATAAAGAACCCAGAAATAAACTCACATTTGTACAGCCAACTATTTTTAACAAAGGCACCAAGAACATATATTGGGAAAAGGACACCCTTTTCAATAAGTGGTGCTGGGAAAACTGGATCTCCATATGCAGAAGAAGGAAAGTACCCTTCTACTTCTCATCACATACTACAAATTAACTCAAAATGGATTACGGACTTAACCCTAAAACTACTAGAATAAAATATAGAGAAAACACTCCAGGGCATTGGTCTAGAGACAAAGACTTTTTGGCTAAGACCCCAGAAGCACACGCAGGAAAAATAAAAACAGACAAAAGGGACTATACTAAACTGAAAAGCTTCTGCACAGCAAAGGAAACACTAAACAAAGTAAAGAGACAACCTATTGCATGGAAGGAAAATATTTATATATTCATTTGGCAAGAGACATATACATATACAACATATACAACAGACTCAAACAACTCAACAACCATAGCACGCTGGGCACAGCACCATGGGAAGCCCAAATGGGAGGATCACTTGAGGTCAGGAGTTTAACACCATCCTGGACAACATAGGAGGACTTTGTCTCCACAAAAAAAAAATTTTTTTTAAGATTATTCAAGCCTAGCGGTGCATGCCTGTAGTCCTAACTACTTAGGAGGTTGAGAAGGAAAGATCACTTGAGGTTACAGTGGTAAGCTATAATCACACTACTCTACTCCAGCCTGGGCAACAAAGACAAACAATAAGAAAAAAAGAAAAACAAGAAAAAGTAAGTAATTGCATTAAAAAGTGGGCAAAGGATAGAAATAGACATTTCTAAAAATATATATAAAAATTCAACTTTACTAGATGAGCAACACTTTGCCAAAAATGATTTCACCAGTTTATACTCTCACAAACATTGTAAGATAATTATTATTGCTCCATAACCCTTGCTAACATTTGGCATTGTGAATACTTTTCTAGCAGGGGTATCAGCATTGGGAGTATAATTCCTTAAGAAATACCCAAGGACTTATCATATTGCTGTACGAAGACAGGCACTCTTACACTTTGCAGTTGAAAGTAAAAAATGACAAAAGTCTTACAAAGACCTCTCTTCCTCTCCTTCTTTACTGCAGCATTATTTGTTAAAGCAAAATATTGGAAAGAACCCAAATACCCATCCCTATGAGGGTGGTGGGGAAAAATGATAGTATGTCCATACAATGGGTTATTATATGAGTGTAAAAATAAAGAGGATTACTTTTGTGAACAAATTTAGAGTAATTTCCAGGCTTTTCTGTTAAGTGATAAAGCAAGAGTGCATGTAATATAATAGCTTTTCTGTTAAATGATAAAGCAAGATGTAAAGTGTCCATGTAATATAGTAAGTTATAAGGGTAAAAAGGTAAATATTTTTACAAAAGAAAGAAAAGAAAAAGTCAAGAATGGATGAGGAAAGAAGGAAGAAAGATGGAGAGCATAAATAAAACACTAATGAAAAAGGGGTTAGGGATTAAAGCAAAACTCAGAATATACCTTTTTACATAACGTTGATTTTTAACTAAGTAAATGTTTTGCATTTGTAAAGAGAGTTGAAAAGTAATGAAAGGAAACATTGAAATGGAATACAAACAGAAGCAAATAACCTTAAATGTATATCAATTTTATAATATAACCATATAGAAGAATTAATTCAAATGAGGTATCTATACAGTATTTCTGACTGTTCTCTTTAACGGGATATAATTCAAGAACAAATAAAACAAAAAATTTGAACTCTACATAGCAGGTATGTTGCTACTAGTGATTTACTGGTATTGTAATCTTTAAACTATTTTGATTATAAGACAGAGTGAATTCAGTGAATATATTGATGCTGTTAGGAGCCAGGGTTTTTACCATGGGAAAAAAGAATAAACAAATGTGTGGTGGTGAAAATGAAAAACAATTCTGTTGAGTTGTTTTTTAATAGAAAGCATCCTGAAAATCCTCATCACATGTATTCCAGCTCTCATCTATTCATAAGGTCTAAAAGCAATAATATATCCCAGTAGCAGTCAACGTATCCATTGCCCAAAACTCAGATGTTGGTTTCTGCATACCATTCTTCACTAATAAAAACTGTGGCTTCATGGAGCAATGGTGGTTTCAGGTCTAGGATAGCAAAGGATTAAACAAGCCTGGAATATCTCATGTGAGAAAATAAAGTGCACAAAAAATGCTTCAGGACTTACTGAAGCCAGTTTGAAAGGGTTCTAAATGACCAAATTTGAAATAATTGGACCATCAAAATAATAATGGCAGTAATTGTTTATAACATTGAATTTTAAAAGAATCCATGAATTCATTTTGATAAAATGAGAGACAGCAGGGAAAAGATATGGTTTTCTTTGTAGGGAATGACAACTGATAAACGTAGAAGGAATGTGCCTTCTTAGTATCTTCATTTGTTAAATGAAGCTAATTGTTCCTGATTCACAGGGTTGTTATGCAGAGTAAATAAACTAATATGGGTAAAGCACGAAGTTTAGGTACGATCATATGCCCCCCTAGCAGAAAAGGCGCCTCCAAGCTCCTCACTACGCTCGAAGACCGTACTCAGCGTAGCCACCACAGAGGTGTGAAAACATCCAGGCTTCCTAGAAGGAACGCAGCCAGAACCGCTGCGCCGCCGCGAGCGCGCCTCTGTGACGTACTTCCGGCCTTTGTATAGTTTATCATTCTCAGAGCTGCGGTTGCCAATGTTTAGGAGGTGGTGTAAACTGGGCTAGGTGGTACCTCCTCTCACTTATTCCTCCGTGAGCTTCGGATTCAAGCTACTGCTGAGGGCCTTCGGAAGGGCCGGTCTGTGCGCTGCGACCCCGGACTGGCTGTGGGGGAGCGAGGGCTTCTTGGCCAGAACTTGGCCGGGCAGGTGAGGGGCAGAGGAGGCTGCTCCGGAGCCTGGAAGGGCCATGTTGACTAAAGTCAGCGTCCTCACTCCCTACCCTTTTCTCCTGCTCCATGTCTGCTCCAGAGCTCTTCAACCTCTCAACCCTAGTGCTGGTGGCCCTCTGAACTCTTCCATATCCACATCTTATTAATATTATCTGAATAGATTCTATATCATGGAATGCTTATATTTTCCGATGTCTTATCCTCTACTGTGGACTTATTTTTGACAGTGAGCAGGGATAGCTTTAAAATATGCCACAACTTCTCTTAGTTTGATTCATGTTTATTCTGATTCACATAGTATAAGGCTCTTGCTGTCTGTTGATTTCTTTTACATGAATATTTAAGTAGCATGTACTATGTGTATATGCCAGCCAGGCACTGTTCTAAGCACTTTCCAAATATTACTTACTTGTCATAACTCTTGTGAGTTAGGCGCTGTTACTATATCGATTATGCATTCTCTTTTTTAACATCCAAGAAGAAAGGTCAAACAGCTGATAAGCAGTGTAGTCAGGATTCAAATCCAAGCAGTTAGACCCCCAAAGCCCATCTTTGCTGTGCTGACTCCTGAGTCTGTTTCCATGTTAGCTTTACAGCTACAACCCAGGAGGATACTTTTCTCATTTGAATGCAGTCCTTCTTTTCGACCTCAGTAGTCCTGGGCTTTTAAGGGAGGGAAATTGAGAGGGAAATTGATTTTTATGAAACCAACTGAACCACCACATAACCTCAAATGATCTGTGGGCAAAGCTCAGAGCTTCAGCTGTTGTCTGTGAATGAAAAAACTTGGACTTGAAACCAAGTGGAGCAGGTGGCAAATAGGAAAAAAAAAAAAAAGACATTTTTCAGAAGCCTGAAAGATTGAAAAAAAAGCAAAGTGTGAGTGGTTTGGTTGTTTAATCCTTTGAATCCATGGTGGGTTAACTGAGAAATGTGAGAGCAGATATTCTGAATTTACCTATTTGATATTTGTACCCCCAAATTTTCTCACTTTGGTATAAATTCATCAGACCCTATTTAAGCCATCATCATTTCTCCCTGGATCATCATCATAACTTCTCTTCCTGCTTCTTCTTTTTTTCATTGTCATTAACACAGCAGCCAGAGTTATGCTTTTATATTAAATGTAAGTAAAATGTCACCCCTCTGCTCAAAACCTCCGATGGCTTCCTACATCTCTTAGAGTACAAACCAGAACCCTTATATCAGCCTTTCATGATCCCTGCTTTATCTATCACTTTCCCTTTTGCTTTCTCTGTTCCAGCCACATTGTTCAATTAGCTGTTCCTTGAAGAATCCACGCAGGCTCCCACCAACAGGGACTTACACTTGCTGTTCCCTGTGCTTGTAACAGTTTTTCTACAGATAGCCGGATGACTTGCTTCTCATTTCCTGCATGTCTCCTCAGCTATTACATTTCCAGCAAAGCCTTCCCTGACTACATAAAACAGTAGCCTTTCTTCCTCCTTACTCCCTGTCTCCTTTACCTTTATTTTCTCTATGGCATTTATTACCACTTGACATACATTTAATTATTGTCTGTCTCCTGTGTTCCCTTTCCTCATCCTGTCACCTCTACTCCCCACTTACAGATGGCAGGGTAACATCAGAGACTATGAATTCTGAAGTCAGATTAGCTGAGTTTGAATTGCAGCTTCAACACTTAACTACCTGTGACTAACTTGGACTTTGGATGAGTGACAAACTCTTTGTGTCTCAGTTTTCTCTGTGATGCAGAGATAAAAATTGTATCTTATCCATGCTGTTTGAGGAGTAAATAGAGATATATGTCATCTAGAACAATGCCTGGTACACTAAAAGCACTGTAAATGTCACCTATTATTAATATTGTTATTAGAGTATAAAACCATGGCTCGGTGCCCATAGCACAGTGGTTACAGCGCCAATCACATACACCAAGGCTGGTGGGTTCAAACCCAGCTGGGCCAGCTAAACAACAATGACAACTGCAACAAAATATAGCCGAGTGCTGTATGGGCACCTGTAGTCCCAGCTACTTGGGAGGCTGAGGCAAGAGAATCGCTTAAGCCCAGGAGTTTGAGGTTGCTATGAGCTGTGATACCCTAGCACTCTACCGAGGGTGACCTGGTGAGACTCAAAAAAAACAAAGAGTATAAATCCATGAGATAAGGACTTTGGGGGTTTTTTGGTTTGGTTTGGTTTTGCAGTTTCTGGCTGGGCTGGATTTGAATCCACCACCTCCGGCATATGGGGCCAGTGCCCTACTCTTTTGAGCCACAGGCACCATCCAGGACTTTGTTTTGTTTGCAGCTATAGCTGCAGGGCCTAGAACAGTACCTTGGAATATGGTAGACTCTGAAAATATTTGCCGAATGAATGAGTGGTATATAAAAAGTTTTGAAGGAAAAAGGATAATGTGGTAGTTGTAGTGGTGATGAGTTAACCAAGAAAAGTGGAGGAAAACCATGAACTCAAGGACCCTATCTTTAGAGGAAAAAGTCCTCTCTACTCATCCTGGGGTGGTGATTATAGTAGTCAACCAAACCAAAGATGTCAGAAATTTGTGGAGTGGAGAGGATTATGTCGCAGGTTACCCAGAAGGTTGTTTTCTACGCTATAATGTTTTCCCTTTTGATAAACATAACCAGTAGTGACAAAATGAATCTAACTTCTTCTAGTTGTAATGTGATCAAATGTTCACTTATGATTTAAATAACTATCCTTAGTTATTTAATTTCATGATGCATGTCAATACCTAAGATTACTGTAGGGTAATTTTTATAGTGAATTATAATAATTCTTCTTAAAAACAAGTGATGATTCATTTGTGGGTCATAAAATCTATGTGGTAGGTTGTGGACTTTTTACAAATGAAGTAGGATTCTTGGGAGGCTGAGGCAAGAGGATCACTTAAGCCCAAGAGTTTGGGGTTGCTGTGAGCAGTGATGCCACAGTACTCTACCCAGGGCAACAGCTTGAGACTCTGTCTCAAAAAAAAAAAAATGAAGTAGGATTATAAATAATAGCATTTCTCATAAAGTAAGGATACCAGTGTTTTGTGAAATTATTTAAATTATTTGTGTTTATGGGTATATCTTGTATATGCACAAATATATATTCACATACATATGTATGTGTGTTTTGGGTTATAATGTAAACTACATCTTTTTTCCAGAATTTTTTTAAATTTCAAATTAATATAAGGGTATACAAATGCTTAGGTTACTTTGTTTTCAATTCTGAGGTAAAGTTCAAGTTGTAGTTGAGCCCTTCACCCAGAGGTCGTGCTGAACAGCCTTACATTGTCCACGTTAGGTGAAATACCACTAATCACCCTCCCTCCTCCCCCGCTCCCTGTCTTTCCTCTCCTCTTCCACTTGCTAGACTATATTTGTGTTTTTTCTTTTGTGTGGGTATGTGGTTGTTTATATATTGGTTTCATATTATTATTGAGTACATTGGATACTTTTTTATAAAATATTTCCTGCTGAGGGTCTTGGTCAAAAAAGTTTGAAAGCCTCTGCCCAAAAGTGGTATTTATAAATCACTAGGTCACATAATTATTTTTCTTTCAGGAAATTGTCCAATGGAATCTAATCATATGTATCCTCATATTAGTCTGAAAAAAAAAACCAGAAAATTGCCTTCATTAATTACTAGCCTAGTTAAGATTGTTCATAAACTTTAAGTGATCATAGACATTTGTTTTGTTAGTGGTAATTGTAGTTTACATAAAATCACCTACTCTCTACCTTAAAGGTGCTTCAAAGAGAGTCTCCAAGAAATTAAAGACCAAGAAAAAGCTCAAATTCTACTCTTATTTTAAAATATTAGGATTAATATTTTTCATTTTAATGTCTCTGAGCCAAGACCACTACAGTCAACTGCTTTCTGATTTTGCCTTAGTGCTTAGATCACTAGGATATTCGTTTCATTTTTATTGTTCGGGGGGGGGGGGGGCAGGGTTGAGGAAGAGTCTCACTCTGCTGCTCCAGCTAGAGTGCTGTGATAGCAGTCTAGCTCACAGCAACCTTGAACTCCTGGGTTTAAGCAATCTTCCTGCCTCAGCCTCCTGAGTAGCTGGGACCCCAGGCACCAACCGCAATGCTTGGCTGTTTTTCTCTATTTTTAGTCGAGACAAGGTCTTTCTTTTGCTCAGGCTGGTCTCCAACTCCTGAGCTCCAGGGATCCTCCTGCCTTGGCCTCCCAGAGTGCTAGGATTATAGGCATGAACCACTGTACCTGGCCTAGGATATTCATTTAGTCTTTTGAAACATAAGAAAAATAAAAACTGGTAATTTATAATACTTGAGAGTTTATTAAACTTTGTGCTCTTTATCCATGATTTTATTTTATCTTTATATCAATCCAGAAGGATTGGCAATGTCGGTTTTAGGATTCCTATTTTATAGATTGAGGAGGCTAAGGCTCAAAACATGAAGCCCAAGACTGGAGGGAATACCTGGAGGATCCTGTTTTAATCCCAGACTCTCCATACTTCAAATGTACATCTCTTTCCTCCACACCTCATCTAACTAGAGGGCCTCTGCCTCTCCTCCCAAGAGCATTTGTTGTTAAGCTTCTCATTTTGTCTTTTTACATTACTTTCCCTCCATCATCTATTTTGTTTCCCTTTTTTTCTTGATTCTTATTGTCATTTGTGACCACTTGGGCCCAAAGTGCTTGTCTACCTTCATTCCACTAAAAACTTACTATGGGTCTAGCATCTTGCAGTTCAAATGGAAACCTAGTATATTCATGCTGATTTGACCTATTTCATTCAGAATGATCAAAATGATTTTGCCCTTGAAAAAAGGACAAAAAAACTATGAGCTTTTTTTGTTTTATTTATGTTTTACTTCCCATATTATCTGTATCAGTATTTGCAGAGTCCTCATCATAAGTAAGCATTCAGTCAGTATTCTTCATGAGACAAAGGAACTGATTTTAGTATAAATACTCCCAGTCTCAGCTGTCAAGAGGTTTTCTGCAGTTTTATATTTTTTTCTTTGCAAATTATTTTTTAGATCTCAAGAATTCCAGAAGAAAAGAACCAGGAAGAACTATCAAGGATAGATTATTTTTCTGAATAGTTAATTCGGCCTTTAATGGCCACAACCCTGGCCCTTCAGACTGCAGATATGCAGGAGGAACCCCTGACAGTGAAGGTAAAGGAAGAAGAGGAGGACCATTCCTGTGGGCCAGAATCAGGCCTGTCAAGAAATAACTGTTATACTGCAGAGATCTTTCGTAGACGCTTCAGGCAGTTCTGCTATCAGGAGACACCTGGGCCCCGGGAAGCTCTTCGAAGACTCCGAGAGCTCTGCCATCAGTGGCTGAGACCAGAAGTGCACACTAAGGAGCAGATCCTGGAGCTTCTGGTGCTAGAGCAGTTCCTCACCATCTTGCCAGAGGAGCTCCAGGCCTGGATGAGAGAGCACCACCCTATGAGTGGAGAGGAGGCCGTGACTGTACTGGAGGATTTGGAGCAAGAGCTGGATGAGCCAGGAGAGCAGGTGGGAAGATGGAAGAATAAGGGTTTGTATCTATAGAAACAAGAATGGGTTTCAGTGCAACAAGAGAAAGAGGAGGAGGAAGATGTCTTTGTAACCGAATTTATCTGTTGTAGGATTTTAATCTCTCTGCCTCTTTTTTCCTTTGCCAGCTTCTTGGTCCTTCCTTTTCTATCCAGTGGCCCTGAGAATGCCTCTTTGCAATGTTCTCTCTGGTATTTGGTTCCCATTTGTCCCTAATTTCTACTAGGTCCTGACCCATGCTCATGAGGAGGAAAAGTTTGTAAAGGAGAAGGCAACTCCAGGAGCCAATCAGGAATCATCAGGTGGCCAGTTCCAAACCTTGGAAGAGCAGCTTCCGTGTAATTTGCAAGAAATGTGCCCAGTACAGGAGATTGGTGAGGATTAGAATTTTCTCAGGTAGTTTACCTCATTCCTTGAATGTTTACCAACTCAACACACATACTTAGTATCTGCTATATGTAAGGCACTGTGTCAGGTACTTGGGATACAGTGACAATACAGATTAACATGATCCCTTATCTCACATAGTTTGTAGTCTGGTGGGAGAGGCAGACAGTTAAACAAGCAGTTATGATACAGGACATCCTCTCCCTTAGTCTGTGTATAATTGTTTTAGAGTGGGAAAATAAAACAGAAAAAGTGGCTATTTATACCCTTCTCCCCACTCTCATGGCCACTTTTTTTCTTTTGTTATGAATGTTACCTTTCATATTTTATGTTATCTTTCATATTATCATTATTTCAGATGGCAAGGCTAGGACTTGGAATGTGGAATTAGCCCCAAAGAGGGAGATTTCTAAGGAAATAAAATCTCATGTACAAGTTTCTGGAAAACTGAATGGTGATATTTCTCAGATGACTGAATGTGGAGACATCTGTGACCGTGAAGGCAGATTGGAAAGGCAACGGGTAAGCTCTTCAGCAGACAGACCCTATATCTGTGGTGAATGTGGAAAAAGCTTCACCCAGAATTCTATCCTTATTGAGCACCAGAGAACACACACGGGTGAGAAGCCCTATGAGTGTGATGAGTGTGGGAGAGCCTTCAGCCAGCGGTCAGGCTTATTCCAGCACCAGAGACTACACACTGGGGAGAAGCGCTACCAGTGCAGTGTCTGTGGCAAAGCCTTTAGCCAGAATGCTGGGCTTTTCCATCACCTCCGAATCCACACTGGGGAAAAACCTTACCAGTGCAATCAGTGCAATAAGAGTTTTAGTCGACGTTCTGTCCTCATAAAGCATCACAGAATTCACACTGGAGAGAGACCTTATGAATGTGAAGAATGTGGCAAGAACTTCATTTACCATTGCAACCTCATCCAGCATAGAAAAGTGCATCCTGTGGCTGAACTGAGCTAGCAGCTTGGAACAGGTAGGGCAAAACTGCCTGACATCAGACCACCAACCAAAGTAGTAAGGATATTGTTTTTACTTTGTCTTGAGAGAACAATAATAGTTTAATCTGTTAGCATAGAAAGTTCCAGGATCCAGGAAATGCCCTTTGGTATATGCTGAGAGAAGGATAATAATATCTTAGGTACATCTGTCAAGTTCTCTGGTGGTCAAGTGACACCCACAGCGTTGCAATACTGAATATGGCTGCTTGTGTTGTCTTCCTCATATGTACTGTAGACCTGATCTCTCACACACACACCAATGCAAGAAGTTTTCTGGAATAATTCAGGAAAACGTACTCATCCTAGTTTTCTTAAAGCTTTTATTAAAAGTTTAAAGATGATTATATGTAGCCTGAGAAGAAAAAATGTCAAAGGCAGTTCACTGGATATGTAAAAATTAATTTAAAAATAATCATAGTAAAATTTATAATGTAAACCACCTGATTTCTTTCCATTCACATAAGATATGATAATTTTCTATTTAACCTACAAAATGGAATAAATGAATCCTCCCATATAAATGCACAAAAACCTTCTCCCTATAAATTTTTAGTAATTTAGCTTTCAATCAGGAACCGAGGAATTGAAACAGCCATATGATGTTAGCAGCTCATAGCAAATAATGGCAAATCATAAGAAATAATGGTGATGATTTTAAATTTGTATAGAGGCCAAGAAACTTAGCTAAAAATCTGATAGCTCACTTTGAAAATGTACGCTTCTTTCTGTTTTTCCCATAACATAGAATAAACATTTTTGGTTTTTACCTTTTTCTTCTTTAATCTTTTGTATAGAAAATTTCAAACATATACAAGAGTAGAGTATGATCAGTCACATTGATTGAAAACCTCAACGCTTCTCAGCATGCTCTCTTGTTTCTTTCCCTTAACACTGAGTAACTCTTATACCTAGAAGTATAGAGACAAAGAAATGGAAATCTATAGCAATAACAATTTTGTTTGGAAGACTCAATATTCAGCAAGTACACATAACATAAGAATAATAGAATCATGGTAAGGGACCTTAGACATGACTTCTGCTTGCTACATACAGCAAAGTAGGTTTTGGGAAGTAACTAAAATCATACAGCCATTCATTGCAGAGCTGGAATGAGAACCCTGTCTCCTAATTCCTAATGCAGTAAGAGTATTGCATTCTATTAAACCACTGTAAGTACCTATCACCAATTAGAAATTAAAAGTATATGGAACTTAAAGGATTTATAAGTCATTGATATTTTACTATATAGCTTTAAGCAACCCTCCCATCTATATGTTTCAGTAAATGCACAACTTCTTTTTTATGGTGGAGTCCATTAAACACTTTCCTTACTTATTTCACTGGAAGCATTTTATTTATTTTCACAGTGGTCATTTATTTTTAACTTTGAAAATTTAATTTATTTAATAGGAATTTTTAAAAAATATCAAAACAATATATAAAATATCCTTTGTGTCCCCTAATAGGTAGCCATTTTCCTAGTTTCTTATATATCTTTCAGTGTTTCTTTGTGTAAATAGAAAATATATCCTGGGTGCCCTGGCTCACATCTGTAATCCCAATGCTTTGGGAGGCCCAGGCAGGGGGATTGGTGAGGTTATAGTGATGGGCTATGATCTCAACAATGCACTTCACTCTGGGGTCAGAGCAGACCCTGTCCCTAGAAAAAAGAAAATAAAAAATATGACTATATATGAAAAATACGACTTATTTCTTCCATTGTACAGAAAGATAGCACATTATTTATACTCTGTATACCTTTTCATGAAAGAATATAATCTTAGAAATTTCCATAAAAATAACTTCCTTAGTCTTCATACAAGTGAATAGTATTTCATTTGTTGGTCTTCTATTTAACAAACTCCTGTAGATGAAAAATCACTATTTTAAAATATTGAACTTTCTGTTTCATTCTTCTCACCAGTTTAGTCAAAGTCAAATTCTTGTCACTTAAAAGCTAACAGCTTTGGCTCTGCACCTGTGCTCAAGCGGCTAAGGCGCCAGCCACATACACCTAAGGTGGTGGGTTTGAATCCCGGGCCCGCCAAGCAACAATGACGGCTGCAACCAAAAAATAGCCGGGCGTTGTGGCGGGCGCCTGTGGTACCAGCTACTTGGGAGGCTGAGACAGAAGACTCGCTTGAGCCCAGGAGTTGGAGGTTGCTGTGAGCTGTGATGCCACAGCACTCTACCCAAGGGGGACAGCTTGAGGCTCTGTCTCAAAAAAAAAAAAAAAAGCCAACAGCTTTCACATGAGCAACAAGATATGAGCAACAAGAATTGTACGTGGAGAAGTGATAAGTAGTGTTTTTCAGTGTGGTATATTAGGTTCTACCATATATTCTTAGGGATAACGTATTGAACTATTTGTATAACTATTTATAACTGTGGCTGATTGTGTATGTTATCAAAAATCTTAAATTTCCTCAGGAGTAATTTTTATTGTGTTGAAGGTAAATTATTTCCAAGAGAAATACATATGGATTTTAGAGTGATTTTAAGGCAAATATAATAGAATTAAGCTTGAAATAAAATTAACTTCCTAAGTAAATATATATTCCATAAAATGATATATACTATGATACTCTGAGTTCATAAATATCTTAAATACTTCTCCATATGTTGAAACAATGTATTTGGATAATTCTATTACATCAGGTCTTAAGAGAGTTAAAATATGAACAGATTAGGCTTTTAAAGGATGTATTTTTAATGGAATGAGTTTTAAAAGCTGAAACTGAACACTGGATGTTTGATTTATGTTGTGTTTTTTTTTAATAGCATCTCAGAAATTCTCATTTTCCTCAACAATGGGGAAAAATACTAAGAAATGATAGTTATAGTAATATAGAGAGATTGATATACTATTATACTATTTAGAATGCAATGATGCTTACTATGGTTTAAAAAACTCGACAGTTTATCAAACCAACTTCCCTTGTTTTCTGATACTGCTAATTTTTTCTTATGTAAGATGTTTATTAACTCATTAGTTAAAAATGACATTTGGCTTAACTGATAGACAATGGCATGTTCTACGCTTGCTTCTGTGACTATTCGAGTTCTTCCTGGCCCAAAGTTCTTAGTTGTCTCCCTTTCCCATTTCTAAATTTTCCTCACTTCTCTCTTTTTTTCTACCATGGCTCCTTTCATTCAACCCATGGAGTCTCTCTTACTGATCTTCTTTCAGGTTCCCTGGGCTAATGTCCACTCCTTCCTATCCTCTTAAAATTTCTAGTCTAAAAGAACAAAAGTTGCCAAAGTTCTACAGCTGAGCAAGGTGTAGGAAATATCAATTCAAATCCAATTAAATAGCTGCATTGGTTCTTGAGCATAGTCCAGCACTCCTTTGAGCACTATTCAGGACAGTGGATACTCCATCAGGAATGGCTGAGTCTCTTGTAAACAAATCCACCTAGACCATTGGTTCTCAACCTTCCTGATGCTGTGACCCTTTAATACAATTCCTCATGTTGTAGTGACCCCCAAACATAAAATTATTTTCGTTGTTACTTCATAACTGTAATTTTGCTACTGTTATGAATCATAATGTAAATATCTGATATGCAAGAGACCCCCAAAGGGGTCATGACCCACAGGTTGAGAACTGCTGACCTATAGCTAGAGCCCTAAAGACTCTGTTTCACTATAATTTTGATTAAGTCAAGATTCTAGAAGTATCAAGTTGCTGTCTACATTTTGTAGTTGGAAATAACTCCCATTTTCTAATATCTAATATTTTTCCTTTAGAAAAATAATAATATATGGTGAAAGATTGTTTTATATTTTTCCAAAAATAAAAAATTATCTCCAAGGAGATCTTAAAATAAAGTCTATCTAAAGTCAATCTTATTATAAATTAAGAAATATTTTCTGTGGATGAATTTTGCTATAAAATATATACCATTATCATTGGTTACATGTTAATCTAGTAATTGAGAGTAAAGAAGATTCTCTGTATGGGGAGGTGGAGCATTAAAAAAAATTTGTTTTAGGCAAAAGGAACAGGGTGGGAGAAGGCCCAAGATTCAGGAGTTTTAAAATTTGTCTGAATCACAGAGTTCCTTCAAGGAGGCATAGGAGTGAGAGGTGATAGATGAGAGTCTGACTGAGAAGCCCTTGAATGCTTGTAATGAGTTTTGTCTTTGTTTGCTAAAAGAATATTAACTTTAAAAGGAGATTTTTAGGGGAAGCTTAACCCATTTCAAACAAACATGAGAAAAATGAAGCCCAAAGTGTTCAAGCACTTGACACAATCTATTTTTAAATAACATTGAAAATTTTAAAAACAAAACAGTGAGCAAAGATCATTGTGAATTTTATGTTGTTTTCTAGACACTTAGACTTGGAGCCCTGAGACCCATTTAGGGCAAATGCAAACAACAGCACCAACAAAAATGCAATGGAGAGACAAAAAGGTAAAAAATATATAAAACCATAAGGAATCTCACAGAAGACAAAATTAGGAGCTAAAACTCTAGATTGGACCAACAAATGGTGACCAAGAAGGAAAAATAAAAGCTAGATGCAGATACAGAGTGTCACCAAGAAGCATGCTTCATCTTTATATATTATTAGAAACCTCTTCATCTCTAAACTGGTTCAAGTTTTGGGTTACTACTGTTATAAGCAGTATAAATAGCCTCACTGAAAAAAGAGTACTTTCATTAAAAGGAGAATAGGGAAAAAAGCATAGTCTACAAATCACTGTGATTTTTAGGTATCTTTGAACCTACCAACTGCTGTGCAATGATGTAAGCACTATTTCTTGATGGGCACCTGCATTAAAATCACTGGATTTATGTAATTTTAAAACATTAATTTTTTAAACTTAATGTAATTTAAAAACTAAAAAAACATAATTTTAAAAATTAAGCCCACTGTTCACATAGCTAGTTTGCAGTGGAGTTTTAAGGGTCCCACTCCAGAGCTGCTCAATCAGCTTCTGAGACAGGGCTTGGGAATCTAAATTTAACTAGCC